GAAAGTCAACACTTTGAACTCTTGGTTGTGTTCCTCAAACCATTCCTCAACTATTTTTGCGATGTGGCTGGGAGTGTTATCCTCCTGATTGAGGGAACACCGTGGGACCTTCCTTTGACTAAGCAGCTACTCACCACTACCTGCTGCTGTGGATTTCTCATCACAGTTTAGTCCTCATCAGAGTCCCTCAGGTCTTTATGCTGCTTCCAACACATTAGCGTCAAGAAGTGACTGTTCACTTGCTGCCCAGTATATCCCATAAGCTTTATGAAGCTTGTCAATAAATGTTAATAGATATTTCAGTAATTGTTAACTGTAGTTACTACTTATTTAGGTAATTGTTATTTTCCATAAGGAAATTACGTTCACCCTTTAAATTATGACTTGCTTGCATGCAAATCTCACCTTTGGTCTGTAATTGAGTCCTAACCTCTTATTTCCTCATGGTGTGAAGAAACAACCCTCCAGTGCACTCAATGGAGCACTGTTTGGAGGATATTTATTACAAGTCCTTTCCTAAATCAAGTTTAAATTGTCCTAAAGGGAATGCACACCTCCTCCTGTCCTGTTTTATGGTACAGTGACTTAGACAGGTTTAGTAAGAAGAGGAGAAGCCCTGCATGGCTCTGATGGCTGATCTCACTGAAGAATGATACACAGGACGACACCTGTTGTTATTATGCCTTATTGTTGATTTATATGTTATTTATTTATTGAGGTGTGTGTGGCCCATGCGTTTGTCTCGGCGCCCTCTGTGGGTCATGCACATGACGCTTATGTTGAGCAGATCAGCTGATATATGATTCACATCGATTTATTTATGACCCAGAAGAAGAGTCAATACACACTGTTCTGATTTTAATTCATCAAAAGATGGTTGGTTTGTTTTTCATAGTTGCCAAAACTGTGCAATAGTAAGCAAGGCCTCTAGTAATTGTATTTATTTATTTTTTCTGTACTCTGACTGTATTATCCATCCATCCATTATCTATACACCGCTAAATCCTCAGTAGGGTCACGGGGGGCTCGAGTCTATCCCAGCTGACTCAGACTGGTGACATGTCCAGGGTGTCCCCTGCCTTCACCCTATCACAGGGCTACACTTAGAGACAGACAACCAAGCACACTCACATTCACACCTACGGACAATTTAGAATCACCAATTAACCTCAACATGTTTTTGGANGCCTGAGCTGGGAGGGGGGCGGGAAGGGGAAGGGGAGGGAGGGCGATGAAGAAGATCACTACTGTAGCAGCTGAATGTCACTTTGAGCGCGTTGTAATAGAGCGAGGAGTAATCTTAACAAGTTAAAAAGAAAAAAAAAACAAATACCGAAAGTGCTGCTTCTTCATCCAGTAATCAGTCATCTGCAATGGGAAAATGCTGGACTTGGTGTTTGTGCTCGACTTAAAAACTGTCCCTCCTTTTAAAAACTTGTCGTTGCCTCTCGTGGAAAATGTTTTTAATTTCGGGGGCGCTTTTTTTATTTTCTTTATTGTTCTTATTCACCTGAGAGGTACAGTGTTTTTCTGCTTCCACACAAGGGGAGGAACGTCAACAAGGCCACGTGCGTCTTCACAGGATTCAGTCATGATAAGAGATGATCTGTTGTGCCGAGTCATCTTTTTTTTGTTTGTTTGTTTCTCTGTGTCATCTCAAATGGCTGTTGTGCTTGTTGATGCATTAATATTCTCTTTTTTTTTTATTGTTGTTTTCTCTGGTCTGCTCCTCCTCGTATCACTTCTCCATCTCCTGCCCCCCCCCCCCCCCCCAAAAAAAACATGAGGCAATAGCATTTCGTTCTCAAATGTCTTACAGGTTGGCATTTTAAGTTTTTAAGTGAGCAGTCTGATTATTTAATTTTTTTTGTTTTGTTTTGTTTTTTGTTCTGAATTTAACAGAAGTGTCACATTACAATGTTTGTTCTTTTTTTTTTTTAAAGCATGATAAATAACCCTCAAATTCCAAACAATGTAATAGAGTCAATAAAAAAAAAAAAGAAAACTCCAGTGTTCACAATTTTAGTTTCCATTAAAATGTCAAATTTTCATGAAGACGGCTGTGTTTTTGTATCTTGTTGGACAGTGAGTGCACACCGACACTACACCCACTCATTCACTCATAATCTCAACCTTGTTTACTACAAACAACTTTTACTTTTTACAATTACATTTGTCTATTTAACCCAAAGATGTGCTGCCAGGCTCCTGTTAGTCATATTCTTCTCCTCGTACTGTTTTCTGGGATCGGAGCCAGTAAGAAAAACTTTAGAGTAACAGAAGGTCCTGTAAAACAAAAAAAAAGTAAAAAATGACTGTGAAACCCTGAACTGGAGAAGACGAGGCCTCAAGTAATGAAGCAGGACAGACATTAAGGCCTTTAGCATGTGAGCTAATATTGTACTTACCGTGGTGTTACACTTTTTCTACTTTACACTGATCAGCCACAATAATAATACCGCCTGCTTAATACTGTGTAGGTTGTGCTGCCAAAACAGCTCGGACCTGTCAATGTATGAAAGCAGGATGGATTCTGAATGCTTCCTGCAGCATCGTTTATCTATCATCACATTAGCACCAGATCCTTTAACTCCTAGAAGTT